CCTCATTAGTACCCTCCTCACTGGTGCCATCCTTATTGGTCACATCCTCATCGGTGTCATCCTCATTAGTGCCCTCCTCACTGGTGCCATCCTTATTGGTCACATCCTCATCGGTGTCATCCTCATTAGTACCCTCCTCACTAGTACCCTCCTCACTGCTGCCATAATGCTGGCAAATGATTATCTTTATTCCTACAAAATAAAGTTCTGTTTCAGCGATCCAGCTAGGCTTTATAAACCCTACTACCAGGTACAAGCAGATAAGAAAGTGAATGGCGTCGTATTAATGGAGGCGTTCAGTGACCTGCCTAATGGGTAAGCCAAACAACTCATTTATAAAATTTTCATCAAGAAAAAAAAATTAATCTGTGTTATGCCACAGCGTGTATTTAAATAACCCTGGCCATTGATTAATTGGCTTTAATAGGTAGATGGACAATTATCCCTATTAATGTCACTTTGCTGCAATTTTTATGTATTTTGCATTACAGTAAAATGAATGACCTCTGGTCAGCATCAGTTTTTTAACCTCCTCCCCACCCCACCCCAACCCTATGTCAGCAACTGGCTGCCAGGATGTGGCCATGCAATGACCATGATACTAGTATGTACATATGGTCTATTTACAAAGTCGGTAAATGTCGTTTAGCAAATGTCGTTTACCGTCGTTTTTTTCTTTCAGTGGATGTCGTGACGGAAGGGGCGCTACTTCCAGTAGAGCTGACGCACCATACTTTCCCTTGGACGCAGTATACGTCGGTGGCGTTTTCTACTTCGATGCGTGGGATGAGATAAGCGTGACAATACCAAGGGACAGCCTAAAGGCTGTGATTGACATGAATCCAAAGCGTTCCTTTTTTGGCGCTTTCAAGATCCCTTGAATATGTTAAAATACTTCTCAACAAGGCATGTAAATTTAAATTTATAATCATAAGCACATCTAAATGCAAGATTTTCGCAGGAGAAGAAAGAAACGCGAAACGAGTGAGCAGGTGTAGATATATATTTCCCTCTCCTATAGTTCTACATATCTGCACATAAACATGCCCAGTACTGAGACCACAGGGGAATGCGCCTGTGACTTCTCATGCCGTGTAAGACACTGTACAGGTTTCCGAAACTGCAGTATTGGTGTATATCTTGGTCCCTGATATATCTGACCTTAGTGCGATCTTCGATATACAGAGTACATGTATGACTCAAATCATTCCCGGCGATACGCGCCCGTGTTCCATGTCTTGGTTTATCTTATATATGCATGACCTCTGACCAGATATTTGACTTGACTCAAGCCCGGTGATTCATGAATGAGTTCTAGTTCTTGGTTTATGTTATATCTGACCTCTGACCGGACCTTTGACCTGATTCATGCCCCGTGATTCATAAATGTCTAGTTTTTGGTTTATATTATATCTGACATATGACCTGACCTCTGACCTGATTCATGTCCGGCGATACGTGACCGTGTTTCAGTTCTCAATTTATGTTAATGTATATCTGACCTCTGACCTGACCTTCAACTTGATTCGTGCCCGGTGACACGTGCCCTGTTTTCGTTTTTGGTTTATGCTATATATGACCTCTAACCTGACCTATGACTTGAATCATGCCCGGTGATATTTAACCGTATTCCAGTTCTTGGCTAGTGATATCTGACCTCTGACCTGACTTATGACTTTATCCATGCTCGGTGACACGTGACCGTGGCCGCTGTCACAAAGACACCTGACTAGTGATACTTTCTGTAGTACTGGTACTTATAAAATTGACACGTGACTCATCTGACACGTGACCTGCCATGACACGCAGACAAAGACCATGACAGTACATGGTGAAAGAATCTATCTATAAATTACTTGCTCGAAACTCTGCGCCGGGAATGTCTTTTAAGGAACCAATACAACAATGACTGACAAAACGTGAGCTCTTTCTGTGGTGTCAGCTTTTATCCATAGCCTCAATTCTAACATGATTTCTTGTCCCACTCCCCTCCAAGTCCCGCGAAATATTTTACTCTACGTCATGAGACTTTAGGTTCTCCGTTCATTCCACTGGTTATAACCAAGAGACTTGCCCTTCATGCGCCGAGCACCAAACTTTTGCTTTTCGAGGATCAAACGATTTTGTCTTTTAAAAAAGGCAGTGAAATTCCTCGGACGTAAACCAAGTAATCTGGTCTTATTTACAGGGGGATAAACGTGTATGTAGATATTTAATATATTTGTAAAGTTTATATTACAGGACCCTGCGCAGTATGTCATAAAACGTAAATTATGAGGATGAACTACCGGTATGCTGTGCATGTTTCCACCATATACCTATTACTATTGAAAGAAAGTGGTTAGTATTGAGTCATAACAAATATTCATTGTAAATACTAGTTCAATTTTAACCGCCGCCAAGGATTTTTTTCAATTGTCGGTCTGTTGAATAACAGTCTAGCTCATAACTTGACAAAATTTTCATGATAGGTCAGAAATGGGTAACTTGGAATCAATTAAATTGTGGTTCGCCCTCTGGGTATTTTTCTTATTAAGAATAGGTGGCGATAATATATTGTACATGGGATGGTTCTAAATATTGAACATGTCTTAAATATGTTGATATATGTATCACTGATGAAATGTAATAAAATGATTGATAAGATTTGAAACCAAGCTGTTATTTATAATGTCCTCAGCAACATATCCATAGTACATGCACAAGGTACAGGCAGTTCTATTACTGTCACTTCCAGTGAGGCAAACGAACAATTTAAATTTATTTATATATTTTGTATATTTATTGATATACGCACAACATGGAAATTTGTTCTTTCACATCTAACACACCCTTCGTGTGATTGCATGGCAGCTGTAAGTACCCCGGAAAGAATTTCGGACATGCGTATGTCGATTTCGTACAAACATCTAGAAACTTGACAGAATATTGGTACCGGACATGATATGCCAATCTTAGCATCCATTATTTGCAATATCATAAATGAAAAGAAAATTAGCCATCTGCGGAAAATTACGACGTGACGTCGCGATTGTAGATTGTGACGTACTGTGTTCAGGTAACGCAAAAGGGATCATTCACAATGAAACTGTCGGTCTCCAAAGATCGATCCAACTCCCCGGGAGCTCTCGCTGAATGCAATCAGGTTAACAGATTAACATGCTTCCTCTTGTTTCCAACTTACTAGTATAATCATCTTTTCTGCATTTCACTAAACACGAGGAGGGGCGTTCATCTGTTAATCTGATTGCATTCAGCGAGAGTCCCCGCAGAGTTGGATCGATCTACGGAGACCGATATAGTTTCAATAGGTATGCGCCCAGAGCCAGCCCGCCTTGAAAATTGACATTTTAGTGGGTGGCAAAATCATTATTATCAACGTCATTTTTAAATAGTTAAATAATAATTCCTGATATATAATTAATCGAATACCAGCTAGATCTAAGCTCGATTTGCAGAAGTCGCCTCTCAAAAGGGAACAAAAGTATGTATTCAGCTTTTTATGCGAAGAGCGTCACGTAAAAAGAAACTAGTGCTAGTAAAATACGACCTTCAGTAGGCTTTGTACATATTCAATTTATTTTAACAGCATTTAATACCAAGCATATGTACTGAAGTTTAGCCAAATCCGAGGCTTTGTTCCAATAATATAAGGCCTGTTTCAAATTTGCTGCACAACATTTAAGCACAATTTATGTGGTTTCTCACTTTGTTGTTTTCTAAGTATGTCACTTGAAAGGATAATGCTATCAACCCAACTGGTACAACAGACTGACCTTTTCAAGACCTTATTTGATACACTTGCCCCTTACAGCATTTTATCCTGGAGTCTGCATGGAGCCGATTACAAAAAATGCGAAAAAAAGCTTTTTAAAAGTCATCAGTTTGCTAGCAACACTTGAAACGGGGGTTGGGGTGGGGGGTGGGAGTGGAGAAAACCTCGAACTTGCCGGGGGTCAGCATTTATACATACACCAGTATTTGCCTTACATACTTGTAAGTCATATACATACCTACAACATGCCTTATAAATGGGTTAGGCGTTTACTAACTCTACCCGCAGATCTTTTAGCATTAACACCCATATTTACATCAAAACCCACAAATTAACCAGCGCCACCAAAGTGGATGAATATTAGTGCTAGGTATCACTTTGTTGGTGCTAAATAATTGTACGGTGTGTTGGTTAATTCGTGGGTTTTGTGGTAATATGGGCGTTAGTGCTTAAAGATTTGCGGGTAGTGTTAGTAAACGCCTAATACGTTTATAAGGTCTGTACTAAATTTGAACAGATTTATGGCAAGATAAGGATTTTACTGGACCAGGTTTGGATGGCGTTTTCTGTCGGGTCACTATATCTTTCTTACATATAAACAAAGTATGTACAGATGTTGAATCGATACCAGATGGCATGACAAAAAAGAGCGGTCACCACACAAAAGTCTGTACAGTCAAAGTTTTAGGTGCGCTCTCTCCTCTCTCATTATCAGAAGAGCACATAAAAATGCACTTTATAGTACAGTATATGTAGCAAAACACAAAATATCGTGGCCACACTGAAGTCTGAAGTCTCTCTTTCATGTGAATACATATAAGAACCACCATGCACATGTTAAATCCAAGTTCATTGACGTAGGATCCTGTCTTATATACATGGAACATACGCATTTAAACCGCATCATCTCACTGCAGCCTCGGTGTCGTTCACATTTGAAAAATGCCGTTTTCTCGCTGTTCCTGGTTTGTTTTAAGGCCAACTATACACACAGGTCACAGCCACATCGGATAATATACCTATATGTAGCAAACACAAAGTTCCCGTCGGTGCACTGTAGGCGTAGAGCCTTCATGACGGAGAGTCTGTCTCTACAGCACTCACAGCGGTGGTGAAAGGGGTAGAGCAGGACCGGCTGAAAACTGACCAACGACTCCGTGGAAGACCGGGAGCAAAAGCCTTCACATCTCGTCAGCAGAACTGTCTGGAACGTAGGGAGAAGTCGCTTAGTAAAGACCAGTAGTTGTTGACCGTATGACTGTTCATTTATTAAAGAAATTTCTTAAAAATGAAGTAATCTTCCTTCAGTCAACAGCTTAATATTGAAATAGTTACCTCCAATATTTCGATGTCTAGCAGAACATCTTCATCAGGGAATGAGGCTATTCAGGTGAATATACTTACATGTACCCCCCTCCCCCCCCCCGCCCACACACACACACACACACACACACACACACACACACACACACTTGTTTTAACATTTGATTTTAAAAGTACACGTATTATTCACATAAACGAATAATTGATCGATTTTTGAAAAAATTAACATCTGGACTAACAGAGAAATGGCCCAAAGCGGCCCGGGGCCTCAACTAGTGAATTTCGCAGAACGAACTTTTATTTAAGGATGCACATGAATTACTCGGAGTTCATAGTATTGGAGAGAGAGAGAGAGAGAGAGAGAGAGAGAGAGAGAGAGAGAGATGCATTACATTTTTATTATCACACCGTGAACTCAGCATAAAATTTCATACATGTACCTTTGTTTCACATTCCCTGGCTGGATGCCGTATCAGATGCACTTTGTAATGTCGCATACATCTACTCTCCCACTTTACGGCACTTCCTACAACGACATAGCACAGCAACACGGAACACATCATGGCCACGTGACCACCCTCTGAGCGCATTCTCACACCTAAAAAAATATAAATAAGAGCTGATAGATACTTGGATTAATGAATAATTGACACAATAAACTTCTATATTTCATTTGGGAGATTTAAAAGACATCAGCGGGCCTGAAAAATAACGAACCTATAATACGTAAAGCATATCATCTTTCACTACTCTACCTGTGAAACATAATTGGCTTTAACACGTCAAATTAATGTAGGGGTTCTATTCCTACTCCTTTTGATGAAATCAAACACGAAAAATAAACAAAATAAGAGTTCTTGCAATCGGTTTATACATGCATTCAATTTTTATTCCACATCATCTGTTAAAATATGTAATAAATAAACAAACGTAATGAAATAACACCCGGTTTGAGGAAAATTTCTACAGAAATCACAAACTTCCTAATCATTTCGTACGTAGGAGCAACTGACATTGACAGGCAGAATTGTATTGGTTTGGGGCGCTTATTTTTTGCGACGCAGAATATTTATTCATTTACATTCGTGCTGGGCCAACGATGTAGAATCTATTACCTGTATATACGTATCAATTTGAATCTTTATCTTGGGGGCAAATAGCACGTACATCATGCGCTCCTCTGTTGGAAACCCATAGAAAAGAAACGGTCTTTCTCCACGAGCGGCTCGGGACGTAGCTCTCTTTCGCTAAAAAAATGACTCGGGGCAAAAAGAACATTCTTCAATTTTACTATTAGCATGTTTCCTCCTTTCACACATGGTTTGCCAGAGCTAACATGCGGTTGTCGTTACAGAGAATGTCGTGAAAAAACTGGGGTCATTTTTTACGAATTTGAATTTCCAAAAGCAGATTTTTAAAAGATATAGATCTACTGTGTATTTTTACCTTACATTCGACAGAATAAGGAAAGCAGAAGGAAGCGTTTGAACATGACAAATAGACTAGAGTCAAAAGGGGGGCAATTTTAAGACTAAATTTATAAACAGACTTGTCAACATGAAGGGGG